AAAACAATTGATGATACAACCTGCCTTATTTCAACCAGAATTTATTTCATCCTGTTCAGATTGAAACAATTTATGATTTTTCTTATACTCATTCTATTTTTTGCCAAAACTATTTTATATACTGAATCAGAAACCTCCTTTTATAGAATTATTTCAAGAATTTGCTAATGATTTCCGCCACATCTATGAAAAAATTCAGAACAAGATTCTGTAGACTTTATCGTTCTCCTGTCAGCCAAAAGGCTCTTAACTTTATTTTCATAGAGAATTAGGGTACATCTATCTAGTGTCCTAACTCGAGCTGAATATCGACGAAACTAAGTGATTGTCCTCGAATGTCTCCTGTTTTTCGTATCCTGGAACCTCTATCAGGTTCCTCCTTCAGCTAGTGGATCAGCGAATCCACGGATATGGACAAAGTGCACTGGATCGGCGACGACGAGGGAAGCCGTAATGGAATCTCCTCGATTTTCTCCAAATCTGCCGCCCCTGCAGAATTCTGCTTGCACAATCTCGGGCTTATCTGAAAAATTGGAAAACGTCACATTTCAATGGAGCGTATACGTTGAGGGCGGAATGCGATTTATCATCGCCGTTTGGGCCGTTCGAGTATAAATTGGGGTATCTGTGGAGATTGAATGTAATTGAATAGAGTGCCGGAGTTGAGATAAATGCGTTATTTATTCTTCTGATATTCATTCAGGAGGTTAGTTTCAGTTGTAACACGTATGCCTCTAAATTTTTACATTTGGACGAAGTCCAAATTTTTCGTCCAATTTGTCTTATCCCCCCATTAGCCAAACTAATAGAATAACTAGGAAAAAACCGTTTGACTAATTTCTCAATATCACGTAATATAATAAATTGCAAACAATATTGGATTCCAACCGAAAAAGTATACTAATGAAGTCATATTGTCCCTTCTGAACGAAGTTTATAACAATATTGACAATCTTAGTTTAGCTGCAGAAGTGTTTTGTGATTTATCCAAAGCATTCGATTATCTAAATCATGAAATACTGCTCAGAAAATTATATCATTATGGCATTGATGGATTGACTTATTAGTGGTAGAATTCGATCAAGTAGTTATGCTATAAATAAATAGTCATCACTGAAATAATACTTAACTGTCTATCAATCCTCACTATTGCCGTGTTTGTTTCATTTAAATGAAATTTGGCAGCTGCTGTTACAGATTTCTCCACATCAAAATTTTGAAGTTAAGCAATTCCGAAAAGGCTGAACGGTTCGTGCCGATCGCACGAAGGCCGGTCTTTTTTAAATCTGACCATTTGGTATATCTACTTATATTCTCTCTCGTTAAATTGTTCCAAGCATTTTAATGCTTTTCACTTACTAGTACCTTCTCGATAGATTGACAAAGGAGTCTCTAATTTGTTTTTGTTTTCGTAATTTCATCTTACTCTACGGGGATGGTATTTTTCTCAGTCCAAGAGAAAATGAAAGTCCAAGGTTTCAAAAATTAAGTATAATAAGTAACATAACGACTCCGTGGATAAAATAATAAAAACACAACGTGAAAAGTCTTATATTGAAGTAAAACGTTAAATTCAATAAAAAAAAAGAAAAAAGACTTAAGGAAATGCCATCAATTTTACCATGCCATTTACTATTAATTTAACCTGTTGAACAACTATAAACGCACCAACTCAGTACAAAAATACTTTGAGTTTTACTTTTACTTTTGGGAGAGTGGTGTATAACTTCAAAGTTTCGCCCTTTTTCCTAATTGTAATATGAACTCTAGATAAACAATCAGCACTAGGAACCCAACAATATCACCTCTCTGCACATAGGAAGTGGACTCAGACAAAATAATATGTAAACTCTCTCTAAATATCAACTGTTTAGTGAAAAAAAACGAACACTCACGTAACGCCTCTTTGGGTGGTTCATGGTCAACCATCGGTTCTGTTGACCCGATCTGTCTTCAACACCAACACTTTTATTTTAAACTCCCCTGTACCCAATAACGGCTTACGATTTCACTATCGATTTTCCTTAAATTTCGCACCGCGCGCTCAGACAAAATATCTCCTCTATCAAGGCCACCTTCCTCAACCTCAAACGCTGAGGGATGATACTCCCGATCTTTCTCGACGGGTTCCGGTGACTGACTTTCTGTGTCTTTCGCAAAAAACTCCCAAGCCCCGCGTCAAAAACGCTACCCACAAAAACCTCATCTCAGCGTTTTTAACCTTCCCAAGTGTATGATCATCGGCAGGATGTAATATATTCATTTGTTTAGTTTAGCCCAACTTGTACATAACCACAAGGACCCTTAAAGGTCCGACAGTCATGAAGTAGTTCAAACGCTTTTTTATCTGGGTAAATATCGACACCGAAGAATCGGGTGATCGACCTCGATCTCAATGAATAAAATAATATTTTACGTTAACCGTCGCAATGGCAGTTATTACAGTTAAAATGCCTACTTCATTATCAACTGCAGCTAGTATAAACAGTGGAGTCCCTCAGAGGTATATTCTTGGTCATATTATCTTTCTTTTGGATATAAATGATCGGATATCGTTAAATATAANCAGTAGATCTGTGAATGATATAATATTTGTGTAAGATGAGTTCTTCGGGGAATTTTCAGAAAACAGTATTTTAATGAAAATTTAAAGCACAAAATAATCAGATTGATAATATTTTTGATTTGGATACTCGAAACCCTCAACGTTGCGAGCAGCAGCTACCCCTATATTTTTTATTGTTAGGGGAGTAGAAATAAATATCATTTGCAAGGTCTCTTCTTCCTAACCTAACCTCTGTAATTTTTGTCTATATTGGTTCATTCGTTATCTGGATATTCGATGTACAACGTTTTATTCAAGAAAATGGAAATGAGAAAAGAATTTGCTTAATAACAAATAACAACAATAAGAATAACACTGTCAAATAAGGGACTTCACTAATTACCCTTCAATAATTGAACAGATTTTCTGAATATTTGAAACACTTATGAAACATATTCTCAGATCTGCCTCCCAACATATTGTGCTAATATACTTCGCTAATAATTTACCTGTCTGATTGCCTGCTTGGCAACTTACATATATACTTATAATGTTTTATGCCTATGTGATTTTTTGTCTTTTTAAGTGCAAACTATGATCTACTATTTTATATAACGTAATCAATAAACATCTATATCTATCTATCTATCATCCAGGAGTGAACAAGCAAAATTATTCTCATTCATGAACCCTCTGGCTACAGATATCTGGCTCTACGTGTTATCAGCCTACGTTTTGGTATCTGTTGTCATGTGGGTAAATATAAATAATTCGGATGTGAAGAAAGACCGTAACATGGAAAATCAATTTTCGTTATCAAATTCGTTTTGGTTCACAGTGGGGACGTTGATGCAGCAGGGTTCAGATCTCAATCCAAAGGCAGCTTCGACAAGGATCGTAGGAGCATTCCTCACAGTAGAACGAATGATCACTCCGATAGAAAATGCAGAGGATCTTGCTGGCCAGACAGAAATTCCATACGGCACACTGGAAAGTGGTTCAACAATGACTTTTTTAGGGATTCTATGATTGAAACATACTAGAAAATGTGGAGATTCATGAAAAACCGACAGCCTACAGTATTCATGCCAACTCATGAAGATGGTATCCGAAGAGATCTGGAAGGAAATTATGCATTCCTTATGGAATCCAGAATGCTTGATTTCGTCGTTTAGCGGGATTGCAACCTCACACAAATAGGAGGGCTATTGGATTCAAAGGGATATGGAATAGCAACACCGAAGGGAAGCCCTTGGAAAGATAAAATCTCCCTTGTCATTTTGGAGTTACAGGAGAAGGGTGAAATGCAGATGCTGTATAACAAATGGTGGAGAAACTCAGGAGAAACTTGTCAAAGAAATGAGAAGAAAAAGGGATCCAAAGCTGATTCTTCAGGTGTGGGCAACATTGGCGGTGTTTTTGTAGTTCTTCTCGGAGGGCTATGTTTAGTAGTTTTTATTTGTACTCTGGAATTCTGGTATAGTTCTACAAAATACAAAAAGGAATTCTCCAGAGCTCCACGTCAGTCAGTTTGTTCAGAGATGGGAAGTGAACTTTGCTTTGCTTTGAAATGCCGCGGTTCATGGCAAAGACCCGCCCTGCGTCGACAATGTTCAAAGTGCCTGCCTGATGTTACTTACGTACCTACTGAATTCAAGAACCTATCGCACCGATCTCAATCAAGAGCAAACTGAATCACGGAGGAAAACTACTTGTGACAGGAATTCACAGGGAATTGAATTTATGGATTATATCAGTTGTTTCACATTCACAAAATATTCGTAAATGAATTATTCAATTTAATTCTGTGAGTTGATTTAAAAATTGCGAACTTAGTGGTCAGTAGTTATTTTGATTAAATGTCTAAATCCGAGTTTTCTCTTACTCCACCTTAGTTAGTAGAAGCAACGATAGTAGCGTCACAAAAATTATTGCCAGCTAAATCGCGGAAAATTTATAAAACTGCGTATTCAAGGTTCATGGAATGGAACTAACTGACTGTTATAAGGAAACAAGTATAGCTGAGGTACCAGTCAATCTAATAATAACACTGATGATCTTCAAACAAGACTCAATCTCTGACGGAAGCAAGTATGTCTTTGGAAGGTTCGAAATAGATGAACATTTCAATCTAGCAGACCACTATTATAATATTCATGCAGTCATTGTTCACTGTGGTTCTGACGTTGAATTTGGTCATTATTACGCCTTGGTCAAAGACGAAACGGACTGGTTTAGGTTTGACGATAGTCGTGTTCTGGCGATGTATTGAATCTATTGGATCCTCTATTGGAGGATCCAATGAGAGATGGGACATTGGCAGATCAAGATCTTCAGATGATGTGGTGCTGCAGGTTTTTCCGGGTTTTCCTGCAGCTGAAAAAGCAAATGCGTTGTTTTATAATTTCAAAACAAAAAATGAAGTGACATTTTGTTACCTGTCATCAGATATAAAATGTCAAACTTTTTTCCCGTCACAGAAAAAAATTGTTGTTTCTACTTTTTGTGAGAACAAGGTAAACCTTGTATAAACTTTCTGATTCCTAAGTAATGATTCAATTTTGTTGAAATTTCATAAATGACTGTGAAACTAATTCAAATGGTCAACCTTCAACATATTCCTTAATTAAGCTTCGAATTATCACGAGTCCTGAATCAGAGTAAGACGGTCAAAAGTCTCGACACACGTCATTTCACTGGATTGAAATTTCCGATAATCCCTACCTCTGTCCCGCATCGTCAACGGTCTTTGCCAGAGTGGAGAACTTGGAGATCTCCATGTTCCTCATAAAAGAGGGATTAATGCTGGGAGACTTGCTGCTGTAATCGTCGGCTGAATGGAGGCGGGATTCTAGAGAAAGGGAGTCCCCGAAGTCCTCTCCGTGATTGTGGCTTACTGACGTGCTTATGATAAGACTTTCGTCCAATCTACAATGGGAAATTTCAATTAATAGACTAGCCGGACAAGTATTAATATCGGAAGTTGGAAATGGTGGAATGGAGGAATGGAAGTTACATTGAACTACTAGAGGGTAATTGGGCTAATTCTATTATTTCATGAACTGTACAGAAGCGTATTCGAGAATAGCTATATTATTTCGATGAACTTTTCACTGTAAGATTTTGACTTTGTCCTAATTAGAGTTGAGAATTCACTAGTGATTCATTCAAAATGAGCTTAAGTTATTGTAAAAGGTTCCTAGACTCTTCGCATTATAAACATAAGTTTGCCTTGTAATCGTGCGTTCGCATTAGTTCGGTATCACTGATAAAAATGTTGTCTAGTCAAAAACGATGTTATAGGTATTGAAATATTAGTTTAGGACGAATAGCAAACTTTAATATCAATAGGTTGAGTCCAAGGTGAGTGGATCTATTTGATCCTCCACTGCAACCCGCAAGGGTTTATTGTGACTCACACCTATTCACACTAGACCAAATAAACCCAGCTTCTTAACGAAGCCTTTTAATTTGTATGATGAATGGTATTTCAGGTCAGATGGTAAGAGTACGGCTCTGCCGAACTCTAAATACCTGATTCGGTCTACAGCGGGGCAGGCATAAAGTATGTGCTCTGCTGTTTCATCATTTTCCGAACAGAGGTGACACACACTGTCTTTCGACAGTCCGAGTCTCTGCATATGATGATTCAAATGACAGTAGGAAGTCCTGTTAAACATCGTAGTTCATCTCTACTGTAGTCCAACAACTGTCTGTTGCACTCTGTTTTGAAGGGTAGAAAAACGCCTTGGAGTAGGCCAAGCCTGAAAGATTCTGCCAGTAGTCCATGAATCTTCTTGCCATTCAGGTGTTTAATCTTTGTTTGGTAAAGCCTAAAGCGATGCCAATGACAGGTTCTGGTCAGATGAAGCTGCTTGCAGCACCCTCTTTTGCAAGGGAGTCAGCAGCCTCATTGTCTTACAGGCCAGTATGGCCAGGAATCCAGACCAGATACAATCTGTTAAGTCTTCCTATTGAGGAGAGTCGTTTTTGGCAATTTGCTACTAATTTAGACGTTGCTCGGTAGGAGACAAGAGCTTCCAACGCCGCTTGACTGTCCGAGAATATTTTTATTGACATGCGTATGAGGTTGGATTCTTACAATCTCCCCAAACATGATTTAATAGCGTAAATTTCCGCTTGAAATACAGTAGAATAGGTTCCTAGGCAGCTTGATATCTCTGTTCTGGGTCTGCGACTGAAAACACCTGCCCCAGAACCGGAAGGTATTTTTGATCCATCTGTGAACCAACAACTATGTGCTCTTAATATTTCCTTCTCCTGGAGGATCCAGCCCTCTCTACTCGGGAACAGTACTTTATAAGGCAGTTCGTAGTTCACAGTTGGAGGCATAAAGTCAGAGGTCATTTCCAGAATGCTGTGACTTCCAGTGTCAACCAACAGTCTGTTGCACTCTGCATTAAATTGATTTATTTGTGCAATTGGCAATGTGCACAAGTATATATGCAGTCCATTTAGCCTCTCTCTCCGGAAAAATTTTGAGAGAAGTTAGATCTGAAAGGATCTCCATGGCTGCTGACGATATGGTATTGATGACACTACTGATAGCCAAACAAGCTTATCTCTGGCTATGCCAGAGAACTTCGCCTGGACCGTTTTCTGTAAAGCCTTTGGCCACCAGGCAATTGCACCATAAGTGATCATTGGTCTGACAATCATCACATAAATCCAATGAATTTGTTTGGGACCTAAACCACAAGTTTCACCACAAATCCTTAGACATGTCCATAGGGACAATCTGGCTTCGTGTAAAACTTTTTCCAAGTGAGCGGTCCAGGTGAGTTTTTCATCAAGGACAATGCCAAGATATTCCACCTCCGTTCCAAATGAAATGAACTCACCATTGAGGGAAAGTGGCGTTAGATCGTTCCAATTTTCTCCTCCTGGTGAAGGGGATTATCACAGTTTTGCTGGGGTTGACATACATCTGCTCCCTCAGGCACCAACTGTGAACAATGTCCAACGCGCTTTGGAAGATATTACTAGCTACTCTACCCGACGTGGACCTTGCCAAGATGACAAGGTCATCTGCATAAGCTTGCAGATCTACCTTTCTTCTGTCGAGGTAATCAAGCAGACTATCCATCAGCAGTTACCACAGAAGGGGAGATAGTACCCCATCTTGAGGGCAGCCTCTGGTTACCCTGAACCTAATGGCCTCGTCTTGAAGAGTCGTAATTGCAGTTCTGTTCACTACTGTTTACCAGCATGTCATAGATCCAGTAAGTTATGGTCGATTCTATACTTTTCCTAGCCAGACATGATCCTATAGATTTAGGTAGTGTATTGTCAAATGCTCCTACAGTATCGAGAAATACAGCAACCGCAATCTCATTGTTGACAAAGGATTGGAAAATTTTCCCTACAAGGTTGTTTAATGCTAAATCTGTCGATTTGCCGATTTGATAAGCATACTGGTGGTGATTCAGGAAGGATGCAATTATTATCAGTAACGTAAGAGGTTAATTTTCCTACTGTTCATATTCAAATATCAACTAGCAATAAACTTCAATGGTACAATATCTACATTGGATGCTCCTCCATTCAGTAGAAAAATGTTAATACAAGTAAAATCGTCCAATTCCATTTCTGAGGTTGAACTATAGTCAACAAGCGCTTCTCCCGATTCTCAAGATGTTTTCGAAAGCACTTTGTTATGGAACAACTCTCATAACTTCTGAAATAAACCCATCAATAAAGTAAGACGCTTTTGGAGCTCGCAAGAGCTATATATAGTTTCAAACTCGGGAAAGTTTAGCGAAATCTATGAACCATCAATTTTGATGGAACATATTTCTGACATTTCTCTGGAGTCTTTCGATAATTTGTTTGCAATTAGTTCAAAAGTATCCTTCAGAAACTAGAAATAAGGGGGGATATCTTTATTATAATGCAAACAAACTTCATATTGGTGTAAATATGGAACATTGAAATGATCATCAGTATAGAGTGTGAATAAAATGAAAATGTCATAACTCGAGTATTTGCGGGTAAAAAAGAAAACTTATTTTATAAGCGAAATCTCTTTGACTTTTATTGAAAATGAAATTGTTTCCAAACATTTTTTCTTCTGAAAATATTTTTTCAATAAAACTTTTATTTATACACATGTTTTTCACGAATTGTCATTGGGATGGAGCTGATTTGTCCCTTTCAGCGACATGAATCGTGAGTTCTTCGAATATATCTTTGTGTTGGAAGTTCATCACTATCAATACGTTGAAAAAATAAGGTGATTTTTCCATTTCATTGAAGAATTTGCATCAAATTTTTATTGAAAAATGGAATCAAGAGGTAAAAAACAGTCAAAATGTTGACAGGGGCATATGGTGATGGTACTCTGAGTATTCCGGTACAAACTTTTCACAGAATGTCGATAAGATGTGAACGACAACGCTCATCTTAGACGCTCCAGTACATCAACAACCGATAAAAATGTTGAGAAAATGAAAAAATTGTAATAGATAATCGTCGAATCGTAAGTTGCTGAGGATATCACATATCGGTTGGTTCATTCATGCAATTTTGAGCATGAATCGTGTGGCAGGAAAGTTCGTTCCAAAATTGCTGAGTTTTAGGCAAAAAATCGTGGCATAAGCATCGCTCAGAAATTGTTGAATGACATCAACGGCCAATCATCCCAATGGAAGGGCCCCGGAGAGCCAATACCAAAAAATGTCAAGGTTTTGCTCACTTTTTTCCTCGATTACCGTAGCGTAGTGAATCAGAACTTCTTGCCACATGGTCGTACGGTCAATAAAGAGTAAGCAATAAAAAGAAAACGTCCGGTATTGTGGGAAAACAATGCATGGCTTCTGCAACACGATGATGCAACTGCATAGTCGTCATTGCTTGTTCATACATTTCTGGCCAAAAACAACATAGTAATAATGCCACAGCCACCGTATTCACCAGATGTCGTCCCCTTCGAACTTTTCCTCTTTTCAGGATTGAAGAGATAAATGAGTATAAATAAATTTTCGGTCACTAACTGGTAATTAGTAAAATATCCCTACTATATCAACACTGGGGTGTTTTTTTTATAGAATTCAAGTGGGAACTGATTATAAAAAATACGCACTCTTCAGATGAGAATTACTAACAAATGATAGGAACTGATACTCCACTTACCCATGCGATTCCCTTTTTAGCGAAGCATAAAACGAAATTAAATATACAGTAAGTGCCAAAATAGTTTCAAATGAATTTTATACTAATAGTAAAAAATCTAGATTATGATGTGATCTTTATTTTCATCATATAATGATGATCAACTGAAACAAAGAGTACTTCTAATCCAACAAGAATTGAAAGAAAAAACAGAAACAAAATAGTAAACAAACTGAAAAAAATATAATCACACGGAAATTTCTCGAACTCACTCGATAGATGGAGGATCTGGAAGAGATTTATCGAACCCTAATTTGCCAAGCAACCAGTAGGTGTCCATAGTTCCTTTTCCTTTTATATCTGTGGGACCCCTATATTCTATCTGATATCCTCCTGCTCTCTCCAGGTGATTTTTTGTTGCTTCCGACATGTGGATCCGCCAAGCAGACCCTTGAAATGATAATTTTCATAACTAGCAACACTTTATTTTATTTCGAATAGTCAATGACCCTCCATCTATGGGCAAATAGCCCAAACACAAAAGAAACAATTCTCTGTTATGATTATCGAACAGTATTCTGTTTTCGAATACATTAGTGATTTTAGTGATTTTGTAAATGTTCATATCTTTCATGTACAAATAATTTTATTTCATACTTTGTTCTATAATCACAAATTTTTCAAATTAGTCCGGTCAAATTAGACTAAAAANGAATAGGCCTACTGGGGAAACCACTTTAAAAAAAAACGCGCTAAGTACACTACCTCATAGGTGGCGTGGAAACGTGTGCATATAATGACGATTACAACTTTTACTACATTTTGACTCGTCGTATCTCAGAAACGGTGGCTCTAAAAAAAGTATTGACACATTTTTTGTAGAGAATTTTATGATCTGCAATTTTTACCTGGGGTTATTTTATGATAAATCCCACCGTTTTCCTGAAAATGGCGAAAAACCAATTTTTTTCGAGATTTTCGACTATTGACCTCGAATAAATTTTTTACAAGCATCGCAATCATTCGCAATTTTGAAATCTCATTTTCAACTATGTTTTGAACAATTACACGCATTTGCAGCTTGTTGTAAATTTATGTACCCTCCAATGACTAGATTGACCGGGTTAAATAATTGAAAAATGAATTGTATCCATGTTTCAACAGCTCCTGGACTACAATATATCTCAGTAAATGTTTTCATAATATAGTAATTAAGGTTTTGTAGCGAAATCTTGTATGTGTTGAAATGCAGATGAGTGTGAGAAAAAGGTCTCACCTGGCGTGACTCACCTGTTGATTCCATTCTAGAAGCAGTATTAACAGTATCACCGAAAAGGCAATATCTTGGCATTGTGAGACCTACTACGCCTGCGCAGCATGGTCCTGTGTGAAGTCCAATTCTTAACCTCAGAGGAGTTTTAGGGAGATGCCTGATACGAAATCTACCGCTTTGATGGAGGAGATCCAAAGCCATTGTTGCAACCTAGAAAATATACGATGAACAATATTTTCAACTATTTTCTAATTATCTCTCAAGTTTTACTTTTATGTTCTTCTCATAGAAAGAGTAATTACGAAAAAAAGTTATCTCCAAACTATATTAGGGCGCTACATAGTTTTTGTTAGACCTCCACTTTTTCAAACACATTAGATCTCGAAGATGAAAAAATGATGTCGAGAAGAAATCTTTTCACTATTTTTCAATTGGAAAAAGTAACTAGATTCAAATTATACTACAAATTTCTTCCATTCCCCAATTTTTCTCCGCGCCTTACACATATTTTCCCTCAAGCTGTAGGGCCGAATTCAATTCCGTATTACCTTTCCAATGGGAGGAAAGCACAAACTATTTGCAATTCTACATTTACCCTGGGATAGCTGCTAATTCATTCCAATGCTTTTTCCACAGTTGGGAGAATATGGCAAAACAAAGTATCGTGAAGAAAACGAGGAGTATACGCTTTCATGGAGAATATACAGTACCGTCATAAGGAGATCAGACTCGAAAGGGTGGCCTTCAGAAATACTTCAGCCGCAGATTGTGCTTTCTTTCAATCTGTCTGACATTTCATTCAATAATCTTGACTAGTTTGTACATGTGCTTTGTATTGGATGATTATCATATCATTCAGGACACAATGTTTGCGTCCTATGATTCGCATAAAATATATTTCTACCCCTTCGTTTCATTGCCTGCAGCTGAAATCTCCTTTATACAGCACTATTTTGTTCAGGTGTCCTCCAAATTAACAGTGTCCAGTGAGTAGCCCTGCGTGATTATTTTTGGCCGGTCCCAATTATGTAATGAAGCAGTTCTTTAGTTCTTTCTTCAGTTAGCTCCTTTGTAAATTTGTTTCCAAGTTCCAGATGTATTTTTTCTATAGGCTCTGTTTATGCAAATCTTTTTTGATCTGATCCAATATCATCGACATTGAACATAAATAAAACCTCTCATAAATATTCATAGAAATCAACAACAAACAGAATAATTCCAATCACTTCATCGATTACTGGGTACCGTAACTCAAAATGAATGAAGAAGCGTTAAAAAGTAGGGAAATAAATCACATTCATTAATACCGCCCCGGTTCTGCACGGGTGCAATGCTGATACTAAATATAAATTTACCCACTGAAAATTTAAGGGCATGGAGAAACAGTAATGAAAAGATAACTTCATTTTATGAATGCGCCTTATTCTCTGACGGCTGGCACCCCAGTTGAAAAATTTAAAAATCATTTCTCATTGCACATCCACAACATAAAACGAACTTACATACAGAAATTCAGCCTCCGAAAGTATAAGGGTACGGAGAAACAATGATGAAAAGGTATTTTTAATATGTCAACGCTCCCCTTTTACCCCGACGGGAAGCGCCCCAAATGAAATATTCGAAAATCCTTTCTTATTGCGTACCTAAGACCCAAAAAGCACGTGTATACCAAATTTTAGTTTCCTGGGACTTACCAGTATGGAGAAACAGGGATGAATGAGTAAGTGGTAACTTTCTTGAAATTGAACAAACAATATTTGTCCAAAGTAGAAAACCCATTCGAATATTTGATTTTCATTCATATATTTGATATATATTGAATAGTGAAAATACACAGCTCTACAAATTTTTTTTTTTGTGTTGCCCTGGATATTTTTGCAAATTTTTATGTTTTCGAGTGCCTAAATCACGAATATATTTATGAAAGTACTGAATGTGCTCCATTTTTTATGATTTTTACGTATCTTGTATTTTTAATAATAATCGGCTTGTTAGTAAAAAAAAAAATATTTTCTCAGTCATGATTAGGCTTCTGCGCAACTTCTTTGCGCGTACAAACATCACGTGATCCCCACTTCTCGTGCTCCTTGCTCTGCAAAACAGCTGAGAACTCAGTTATTTGATAGTATTGAAGTACTAACACGGAAATCTGGATAAGTTGTTATATGTTAATATTTTGTTTCAAGTGTTGAGTGTCCGTTCTAATATTATTTATCTTGTGTCTTTTTAAACATGAGTTTGTCACGAAGGAAGTGAAGGAAGTGCAAATATAGTAGTGATTTATTCTGTTATATTTGTGGTATTTATATATCAAAAAAACAAAAAAGAAATATCACAGACTTTGTTAAGGAAACTTATGCTGAATATTTCGGTTTTAAAATGGACAAATTAGATAAATCATGGGTTCCTAATAAAGTTTGTAANAAATGAAAATAAATATTTAAAAGAAAACGAGAGCAAATCTTACACAAAACCATTGATAATTTCATGAATTGTGAGTACAAATACACCCAAAATCAATCTTATATCTAGGGCAACAAAACCACTGTAGACCAGTGATATTTGTGACACTGAAAATAGTTATGAATATATCACCGAGAAATGAAACTCAACAAATTAAGTCTCAAACAATTTTCAATAATGATCTTCATTCTGGATCAACGTCAAATATGAAAAAATCGGAAAATTTGTTTTGTAATTTACATAGAAATGTCACGTCACCTACGATCTTGATCGGAGAATAAACTCACTAAAGTACATGTACTTCCAGAATTTAAATTGTTTGTCAGACGTTAGCCGGTTGGGTTGGAATCACACGTTGAAAAGTAAGGCCCCGGTAATCTCCAACTCGCACAAGTTTCGACTTCTGGGGATTGTCGTTCATAGGGAGGTGAGAGTTAGCTGACGGAATAACATATTTCAACAGATGTATGCATACATGGATTGAAAATGAAAATCGTTACAGCTTCCCGGGGTTGTAGAAAAACTTGACTTTTGATTTCTTTTTCTTTCTCATCCCTACTCAGGCGGTGTCCAACGAATAGGTACTATAGCCAATTGGAAAAAGTGAATTCAGGCCAAAAAAATGATGTGGTGAAAAAAATCTTCCAAATACTATTTGGAATTTTTTGAAACATTCCAGCAGGCCTTCTATTTGAAGCCAAACCTGACCTCAGTAGATTTATTTCAATTGCATTCGATTTCCATTTTCGCCGTTCCGTGAACTTTTCTAGGCATCTCTGGAGTTCGGGCGAAGTGGAAGAGGGAGAACGTCGCTCCGAGCCTTCTTTTGAGAATATTTTGGTTTAAATAGAATTTATATTTCGGTTTGAAATCTTTTTATGGAAAACATCATGACATGGATTCAATTTAAGATTTTTTTGGTGGATTTCAATGACTTTAACATATATAACATTTATCTTTCTGATTATGTTCATCCTGATTTGGTGTTTTAAAAATGGGAAATCGATGATCCGGTATAGTTGAGATTACTTCCACCCTTAAAATACACCACAAAAATTGCAAAATATACATGTAGTTCCAACGAAAACTTGACACCGCCTGTAAGTCAGAAACGGAGGTGTAATATAAAAAATTCAAAGGACACGACAATTTTTATTTCTAGGGGAATAATTCTGATATGGAAATCATACCCGAAACTTCACCCCCCTGCTGTCAACAACTACCCCCCTATTTTTTTCAATGGCATAGAGGGTCGAGTGAAACATCATTTGAAAGGTCTTTTGTCCCTCTATCACATCTTTTTGGGCTCTGATGGATAACCAAAAGTTTATACTTAATTCACTTTATATTTACTATTTTTGTAGTATTTTTGCATAAATTTAGTCAGATGAACACTGAATTGACATGACTTTACAATGACTTTTCTCTTTGTATTGCATAGAACCATTATTCCTCATCCATTCACATAAGCAGGACGTTGAACTAAACTCACCTGTTCGGCATGATCCGGGATCCTGACCGGCAGTCCCCCGACGACCATGTAAGCGTCCCCGATGGTTTCCACTTTGTATACATTGTACGCGTTGATGGTGGCGTCGAAGCAAGTGTAGAGGTCGTTCAACAGATCGACCACTTGGAATGGCGTCGAGTGGGCAGATATCGTCGTGAATCCCACTATGTCCGAGAAGTAGATTGTCACCTCTTCGAATTCCTCTGGGTCGACTGGCATTCCTAGTTTGAGTTTCTCAGCGACGTAGCTACAATTGAATAAGACATTGAAATACATCGGAAGTATTCTTTAATAGACATTCTTTATGGAGGTCTTGCTGTTTTTTGATATTCCACCTTACATCATGTTTATGGTTTCATTCTGATATCATGAAAAACATTAAACAGAAGGCTGAATTCTGAAAAAAATTCAGGAAATTTAGACGTAATGAGGATAGATTTGAATTCCAACGTTTGCGTGCTTTGATTAAAAGCCAAATAAAAACCGCATATGACAACAAACTTGTTAACATGCAAACAATGTTGTCTAGAGATCCCAGCAGATTCTGGTCATATATTCACTCTAAGAATAACAGCACAAGNATCTCTCAGAGCTCATGGTTTCATTGTTAGAAATTGCAGAAACTTTCATAATATTAAAGCCATGAAGCTGTTGTATTTCATCTACGTACGATCTCACGATCTCAGTCCATTTTTAGACCTCTCAGAGCAAGAACTAACATTATGCTCAATTCTCCAATATATGTAATGTGCATGAATTTCAATAGCATTTGTTTCCATTGTGATATTTTCTCCACTAACCTTCATAACATTATTAGAATTGCAAACGTGTACTTGAAGTAGGTAATTAGAATTAGTTTTTCATCTTTTGTTCATTCTATTTATTGTTGTTTATGGTTAAGTACTGTGAATGTTATTTTATATGGTCCTGTTTTACAATGAAGCTATTATATTTTTTTCACCGTAGTGTGCGCTGATCAGGCCCTATCCCCCGAAGCCCAGATACATTAGAGAGGGCGCGCCAGCATTATTAATCAACGACCACTCCCCATACCGTGGGTTAAGTGCTTATTGGGTCCGAGAATCATGTGCCCTGAGCAAACGCAGTGAGCCAAAAATTACAGCCTTCTGCATCTGTCCGGCTAAGATTTCTGCCTTACTGCGGCAAGCCGGTATGATTTTGAGATTTGAAAGTAGACAGGGCATCATTCCACCAAGGACTCCAATAATCAGAACAACCATCTTGACAGAGTGGTCTGTCAAGACCAGCGTGGTATTAGCCGGAAGAGTAGTTGTTTTCCGGCAGGCATTCATCAGAACTTCATTGTGTGTGAATGCAGATGAATTACCTTTGAATAAATACATTCTACGTTTTGTGAATATGTCGGGTAACTTTTTAGTTTTCCTTTATAAGTCATACAAGGGTGTTGGTAAGGTGAGTGCAGATGACATTAAAATTATTTGAACCAAAAGATCAACTTCTAGTAGCTTTCCTACTCTTTAGGATTTTGCAAAAATATGTTGGAAAATAACTCTCGTCAATATTGTGGTGGATAGTATTCATTCCGAATAATATTTGTCCAAATTTCCTCAAAGGCCAAATCAGTAGATGATTCCAGCAGCATAAACTGGAATCACAAAACAACATACCCTTCTAATATCTCAAATAGTCCCACTCAATTTTCACTCTGAATCAATGAAATTATTGGGGATATCAGACGATAATGCTGCCTAATCTTAAGGATTTACAAGGACGAAATTTATGAGAAAATTCCAATATCCATCGTGATTTCCACCGGGAAATAGTTGGTTTCTGACGGAAATTTGCCATTCCCTGGTGTATACTTTTGATATTATTATATCATGATGCTTCCATACTACGTCGTTTGTTCAAAAAATAGAGTGAGATTTAATTTTTCTCAAAAAATATTCATTTATTCATCAGTTTCTATTTTATACCCTTCGAAGTAATCCCCTTCACTTGTGCCAGCGTTTCTTCCAATTTCCGAAGCAGTTCTGATAAGTCACTGAGCTTTCTCAGCGATGCGGATTTTATCTCCTCAATCGTCGCAAATTGTTGTCCTTCCATGGGTCTCTTCAATCTTGGGAACAGGAAAAAGTCACAGGGGGGCATATCTAGTGAACACGTTGGCTGTGGCATGATTACGGTGTTGTTTTTAGTCAAAAAACAACGAACAAGCAATGACGAGTGACCAGGTGCATTATCGTGATGCAAAAGCCACGTATTGCTTCACGCAAGCGGTGCATTACCCCAAGATAATACTCCTTATTGACCGTACGAGACTATGTGTCAAGAACTTCTGATGAACTACACCACGGTAATCAAAGAAAACAGTGAGAAAAACCTCGACATCTAACCGAACTTGGCGCGTTTTTTTTGTCTTGGCTCTTCTGGGCTCGTCCATTGGGACGGCTGGATTTTGGTATCGATGCATAACCATATACCGATGATTCGTCACCCGTTATGACCCTTTTGAACAAATCTGGATCGCCGTTGACATCTGTCAATGTTTTGAATGGGAAGTATAGGCTTGTGATATATCGTTTGAAAGGTCTCTTCATTCACTATTCAAAAATGTTATCCCTTTCGAATTTATTGCAACAATTAAGATAAAATAAATTAAAATCATGTGGTTACCGAAATTCTATAAAATACACTCAAAACTTATTGTAATATACTGAAAACTCATTTCATGTTGAGGTATTGATAATAAGAAAGTAAGCAAAAACCATAGCAATGTTCTTTTTAGATGGTGACTTCCAAAAAACTGTAAATAATTTCCGTGACAACGTTACTTTGAAACGCTTTGTCATCTTGTTTCGTCAGTATTTTAATTAGAGTTCGGTAATTTCAAGTCTGACAAATGGTAAGATTAATGGAAAGGCGTAAAATAACAGTTTTACAAATGATTGGTTACGGAGATGAAACCCGAAATCTACAGGAAGTAGCTCGCCTATTTCATGAGAAATTTCCTAATTTACCGCTTATATCTCAAGGAATAATAAGAAAAATAGAGAAGCAGTTTTGCGAGCTTGGTCATGTGGGGCAGATAAAAAAAGCAGCTGCCAAGGCAATGAGTGATGAACTCAAATTAGATGTGATGCTAGATTTTGAGAAAAATCCACATACATCGAATAGACAGGCATCCACTACATTCAATGTTAGCCATACATCGATAGTAAACATATTGAAAGAAAATAAAATGCATCCATATGAAATGATACCTACTCAGGAGCTCATGGAAGACAATTTTGATAGAAGAACTTATTTTTGTGAGCATATGATGAACATGTTGGGTAACCATATCATCCAATTAGAAGGAGTTATGTTTTCTGATGAGTGTACTTTGTCCCTCAACGGTTATGCTAATCGGCAAAATTGTCGCTACTGATCAGACGAAAATCGTCACTGGATGAGAGAAAAACACACGCAATACCCTCAAAAGGTTAATGTTTGGTAGAAACCCATACAACATTTCCCAATCGGTGAATAGGGAGGCGGGGATCGATTGAATGGCCAGCGCGATCACCTGATCTTTCATCATTAGATTTATTTTTGAGGGGATATGTGAGGAGCAATGTGTACAAAACTGAACCTTCAGATTTGAATGACTTAAAAGAACGAATAACGCTTGCGATTAGGTCGGTCATGCTTGATATGTTAAATAATGTTAGAAGACAGTTTTATTTGAGGTTCGGATGTTGCCAAGACGTTCACGGTGACATTTTGAACATTTCTTTCGTTAACATCCATATTTCTTTTTCGTATTCTACATTTCATTACGTTTTGCATTACATTTTAGTTTTTTAGTGTATTTTATCGAATTTCGGTAACCACATGATTTTAATTTATTTTATTTTATTTGTTGCAATAAACCTGAAAGCGGTAACATTTTTTATTAGGAAATGAAGAGACCTTTCAAACGATATATCACAAACCTATACTTCCCATTTAAAAAAATGGGTGTTGTACCTGTCATTCGAAAGAGGTTGAAGGTAGGGGTGACACTTAAACGTTGAAGAATGTCCAATAAAAAATTACATTTAAATTGTTTCAGGATTTTTTTTAAATATGTACAGTTACCGAAATAATGAATTTATTCCATTTGGTTTTACACACTGTATAACACCAAACAAAGGACTATTCGAAAAAGGACCTTTGTCGCTATTCATAGAAACCATACCGCACTTTTCAATTTCCAAACTTTCGAAAGCTTCCAGAAACCTGTTGTCATGTACCGGTCACAATAATTTCAAAACATTTCTCACTTATTCTTTGGTCATTCTCCATGACATGTTGGGCGATACTATAGATTTCTCCGGTCTATGAAACCGAACATACGAAACATGTTCTTCGTAGCGAGCTAATATAGTCCGTTAGGTTTGACCAACATAGGTATTTCTTATCACAATCCTCGCAGCTTATGTCGTAAATCCCAGAATTTTTTTTTCAACGTCTTGTCTTTCGTACGACCCAACACAATAGTTTTTTGAATGCTCAGATCAACCCATTAGTGTATTTGGATTCATATGTAAGCACTATGAATTTTGAATCTTTCTCTTTTCGAAAAGTCGAGACTTTACGAAGATACTCCCCAAATTTTTGTTTCCTAATTGACTTATCCGCTATGCTTGATGGATACCCGTTGCTTTCAGTCACTCCCTAACAACTTTTTCTCACCCTCATACCTTTCTTTGCTCAAGGCAAATGTGAGCAGTCAATGGACAAGAAATTGTAGTCTCGCCATTTTTTGTTGTGGGCAATGATGGGAGCTGTCAGGGATATACCGGAAAGTGTTCCTATTTTTCCTATTTACATCGTAGTCTAGACTTTTATAGATATTTTTAATAACTAGTACATTCCAGAATGGTAGTTCTTCGTTATTTTCAATTTAATACGTAATGAGAAATACGTTGGTCAAACCAGACGAACTATATTACCTCGCTACAAGGAACATGTTTCTCATGTTCGGTTTCATAGACCGGAGAAAATCTAGTATCGCTCAACATGCCAAAGAGAACGACCATAGAATAAGTGAGATCTCCAGGTTTCTGGATGCTTTCGAAAGCTTGGAAATCGAAAAGTGCGGAATGAGTTCTATGAATAGCGTCAAAGGTAATATTTCGAACAGTCCCTTGTTTGGTCTCATACGTGATAATTCTAAATAAAAAAACGATGAATATTTGAGATGATCACTAACATAGAGAAAATATGTAACAAATTAGA